GGGAGAATGGGGCTAGGCTTACCGCACCGTGACGTCAATGCTGGAAGATGGCAGGAGGGAGGGGTTACCAAGATTTTCTTAGCGTAGATCTTTTATCTTTATGTTCTAGATATGGACTGGAAAATCAAAAAATACTGTAGATTAAACTTAGATTGTTAGATGAAATAGCACCAACAATGACTTGTTGACATGTTTTTGCATGTTAGCACAATTTCGATCCGTCTGCTGTAATTTTCCACTTTTACATTTAGTATAAATCCAGATTTCTATTGTGTTAGAATTCTGATTTACATTGAGAAAATATGTGTTATTTTCTTCTCAATTAATGTCACTGGATTAAAGTTTTTCTTTTTTACTATATTTGGGTAAAAATGGCCGCTCCCAGACTCAGTGATCGCAATGAAAATGATTATTTTTTTACTGATTAAGGCTAAATTCAATAAATCACCACAAACATATTAGTTTTAGGTATAAATAATAATTCTTTGATTTTTCCTTGCTGACCGGACTTTTCCTTTAACATCTTGTAAACTTTTTTTTTTGTGCATGTCACCAGATGGGCTCTGTATCAATTAATTGAAATCTAGAATATTTTAGCGCTTCAGTTAATTGTAGAATCCCTATGAAGCACAGAGAGGTTAGGGGTTGAATACTTTTCCAAGAGACTGTAGGGGGGGGGTGCATATTTTCTACTAGTGAGTTCCTCCTGGAAAAAGGATGACAGACAAACATCTGCAAGTCCAAACATAACATCAAAAGGTCCACTTTGTGGGCGTCTGTAACCACAGTGCAGCTTCTCTACACGCCCCAGAGTTAGACGCTACCTTGTCAGCAAAGTGGTGGATGATGAAAGCTTTGTTTGATAACCGGGGTTTATCAAAGTAAGCGCTCTGCTTCAAGTGGGTGTTGTACAGTTTCTGAGCCCATGTGTCGTCAGAGCCTTTGGGCATCTGTGGAAAGAGGAAACGCTGACACATCAGTTAGTCAGAGCATTAGTCATAGCCTCCAAACTAAGTAGAGCCCAGAGAACGGAGAGCATGTTTCCTTTGGCCGGTAAATAATAAAAAAAAGCAAAACAATGGTGCCATTTTACTTTGCACTCCTCGTCCAGAAGGTCCAGAACACCAAGCTTGGCCTCAATGAGATTAATGCACGGCTGGTTGTCATGGAAATCAATCAATGTCCAGGGAATCTCCTCCTTCATGTATTCCTCTTGCTCCAGCTTAAAGACATGCTGGAAAGATTGACCAATGAGAAAGGAATCCTGTGAGGATGGAGCGACGTTTAGCAGACGGAAAGATTCATACCAGGTTGAACTGTTGCTGGAGCTTCTCGTTGGCGTAGTTGATGCAGAACTGCTCAAAGCTGTTGACATCAAACGTTTCAAACCTGGAGAAAAATAAATGTTTGTCTCAACAGGCTGTGGAGCGATCACAGGAAACCATGACGACGCTGATAAGGGAGGCGTACCCGTAGATGTCGAGCACGCCAATGAACGAGCGTTGTTTGACTGTAGAGGTCAGGGCGGCGTTAATGCTGCTCACGATCCAGGTGAAGAGTCTGGCATAGATGTGTTTGGCCAGCGCGTCCCTGCCATGCACCGCGTTTACTTTGGAAACAGGCTTCACAAAGGTTTCTGTGGTGGTCTGGAGTTTCTTGTGGCATAACCAGTGGGCTATTTCATCGCAGGGAACCCCCATGAGCTCACAGAAAACCATCAGGTGGGCGTTATCTGGCTGGGATAACAGAAGGGAGGTTCATCTCTTTATATTCTAAACACACGTCTTTTTGAGATAAATAAAAAGACATTAATCTATATAATAACACAGTTAAACATTCTGTTATTGGATCAGAGAGTAATCGATGTTTACCAGGATGCTGCATCTGTCTGCTGACTGCTCTTTAACATCCACGTTGCTAAGATGGAGAATAGCTGACAGAATTTGGTAAATGTCCAGTTGGTCACTTTCATTGATTCCTAAAATGTGAGAAAACAGGAAAAACAAATAAATCCAAAAAGTAAAAAAATAACAATCCACTGGACTTTGTTTCCAAGTTTGTTTCCAAGATTTTTCAATTCCAAATGTCAGAAATAGCGTTTAGTTCCAGGTTTAATCCAGCAGCCCAACAAAGCCTTGATTTTTTATTTTTTTTGGACCATTCATACGTTTGTTTTTTTTTGTTTTTTGTTTTGTTTTGTTTAGAAAACATGCAAATAGAAACGGATGAACGGGTCCGCCCCTTTGGAATGGGGGTCGTTTAGCTTCTTTGTTAGCCTGCAATGCCCTAGCCTCATTCCAACCCCAACCCCTTTACAGGGGATCAAAGGACCTACCCTCTTCAGCCAAACCAACAATTCCCTTAAAGACCCCCCTTTCAGAGACATAGACCCCCATTCCAAAGGGGTGGACCCGTTCATCCGTTTCTATTTGCATGTTTTCTAAACTAAAACCAGGTTTTGTTGGGCTGCTGGATAAAACCTGGAACTAAACGCTATTTCTGATATTTTGAATTGAAAAAGCTTCCTGGATGGAAGAGAAACGTCTTCAAACCTGGAAACAAAGTCCAGTGGATTGATTTTTAACTTTTTTGGAACGACTATGACCTGGATGACTGAGAATCTTCACCAGCAGAAATACAAATTTATAGTGAAATCAAGATATGTGGAATATATGAAAGCATAATTCCTGACCTAGTAGTGAGAACGCCCTCCTGGTGCTGCACATTTCTCTGGCATCGTCCACTCCATCTATGACCGGACTCTGACCCTGGTTAGTGCAGCAGAAATCTTCTGCACAGCCTGAGAGCAGATCCAAGCATATTGCTGAAATAGAGCTCGTTTGAAAAAATACGCTAAAAGAAAAAGTGATTTTTGTTTTCTACCCAGACCTAATTTGAAGGCTTTAAACTCTGGCAGATGTGAAGAAGCACAAAGCTGATAAAATATATGGTAGTTCCTTTCTCCACGAGCCTAGAAGAAATGCAGTTTGTAGTTTAATATCGATTTAAATGCAGCTGTTCATTTGCAGTTTGCAAGAGTCAACGGGGACGAATAAAACCCAATGAAGAAGGCGGCCTGGCCCGATGAGATCAGACTGAGCTAAATGGCTTTTATGTAAAACCAAAAAAAGTTTAACCCTAAGCTGAGACACTTTAACAAAAGGAGAAAATAACATCAGTCTGTGGACGATGGCGAACTCAACCAGGACTGCAACTAAAGCAAAAGAAATCCTAAATCCGTCTTCCATCTTCCAATTATGTGTTTTTCTATCGCATTAATTCCTACAGAGAAACATTAAAGCTTTAACATAATGTTGAACTAGCATGGAATTTGCAAGGCACAGTTCATCAGTGGTGGAACTTTTAAAGTAAATTAACTTGATTCCTG